ATATATAATTAATTAAGTTGATAAAGAAGATAATTATGTCATTCTATTATAATTAGTAAATACTTGTGGAATTCATTTGGAAATTCCATCTCAATTCCTCGGAATTGCTATAACTAGTTCCGATTCCATAGAATTCAAAATTTAGAACTGAAAATGAATTCTTTTCAATACCAAATACAAAAATATTTCATTTCAAAATGAATTCTTCAACACTTATGGAATTCATTTATAAGAAACGGTATGTTAAAGGAGGAAAGTAAGAATATTTCTTGATTACTACTATCGGTTACTATATTATGTAATCTCCATAAGATATAAGAATTCAAATGATAGACAATTAATTGTATCATAAGCGCAAAAAATGCCCTATATTCTTTACAATTTGATACAATTCTGAATTCATTCCTAAGTCATTCAGGATTGATCGTTAAAGATTCAAAGTTAAAACGTAAAATCTGCCCAAGTGTTTTTGACAATTTCAGGTACTCACTTTGGACGAGACTAGCTCGTTGTTGGTTTGATGGAAATTTGAGTTCTTGGGCTTGCCTTGAAGAAAAAGAGTTACTCTTTCGATTGGCGTACTTTGGAGCTCGAGGGAAAGTTCAGAAGCTGGTGTTTCAGGTCACTCAAGATGCTAGTCCAACACTGGGAAAATTGCCAGATTTGGCTAAGTATGGGGTCGTGTTCGAGGAGGGTTCTTTGAGCTTCAACTCGAAAGGCTTGGTGAAGAGTCGAAGCAAGAGGAATGCATCACATGAAAGCTCGCATTTCCTTCTACAACGTTGTGGAATTGGATGAAGAACCCTCCCAAAGATCGTTCGAAGACTAGTTTGCTGCCTTGGGAAGAACCTTGAATTCGAATCCGGCTCGGATTAGGATTAGGCCATTGTTTGGTTTGTTTACGTTTGGTTTATTTGTTTGGGCAATGTCTATTTTTTACCCAAACCTTTTTCAGATTCTTTTATTTTAACCAAACCTATTGAATTCCTAAAAATTATCCAAACGTTAACTCTCCGTCAACTTTTCTGTTAGTAATGCTGACTAAGTATGACCATAATAAGTTGACTTCCTACGTGGCGGTCAGAATACCATCATTTAATATTTTTAATAAAAAGATTATCAAAAAACAAAACAAAATCCCACCTCTCACGTGGACGAAATAAGTAACGGTAACAGAATGAATGCCCAGACTTTGATAAATTAGAATACGTTTGGATAATAAATAGAATTTCTATAGGTTCGGTTAAAATAAAAGAATCTGAAAAAGGTTTGGGTAAAAAATAGACAATACCCTATTTGTTTTGGATTCTTTCCTTGTTCGAATGTAGTTAGGAATCGTGTTCTCTAAACTAGGTCTATTTAAGCTTGCTCTTTCGTTGTAAAATGCAGTTTTTGAGTTGCAATTAAAAGTACAAACCCTAGCCGGTTTTCGAGCTTGAGTTTGAGAACATCCTAGGGGCGATTTCTAGGTTGTTTAGATTGCTTGTATCGATCAGTTTCCATCCTGATCGTGGCCAAGCCTCGACTATAATCTTCGAGCCTCCTTCCCGCTTGAGGGTTGCACGAGATTTCCACCCCAATTCACACCAAAATTCTTATCGTTCGAGTCTTCTTCCTGGAGCAAGTTCTTAATCCACCAACTCTGATCAACGAGAGCTAATTCTGGCCTCGTCACAAGTGCTTGACTGAATAAGATTTTATATCTCTGCCAGAGAAGTGGAATCGATCCTTTTTAAGAATCTTGATTTCTACGGACATGTGGATGTGGTTAGTGATTTCTTTCTTTGTAGGTGAGTTAATTAATTATTATTGGTTGATGACGATGGATCCATTGATGCATGATACCTTGTCGACCAATCACGTTCGGGGTTGTTAATCTAATGACCATTAACTAAACATTAAATCATATTAGTTGTCTTCCTTCAAATTATACCCGCTTTGAATTATTTTTCCCCAGAATAATTGATATTAGTATACATAATTGGCGAGTAAGCTTAAGGGGTCCAGTAGGCTGTGGTCGGGTGTACCGTAAGCCTTCTGCGACCCTTTTCCCCACCGTTTCTTACTTTGGTCTCTCCGCGTAGACTGCCTGGCGGCTACGCAAGTTGTTTCGCTTCCCGTTGGAATCAAGTGATAGTAAGCAGAGAAGGGTTAGAGTTGTACTCTCTCGGATCTGGAAGAAGCAAGCAGAGAAAGCCAGACACCAAGATCTAAGAAGCAATTCATTTCCATTTTCATCCCATTTACCCCATTCCTTCTGCCCCCTCTGTCGATCCCATTGAAGTGTCGATGTCCTGTTCTCCCCACCTCGAAGCGCCGGCATCCCATTCTCCCCCCTCTGCCCCGGCGTTCCGTAGATGGATTATTCGATAATGGCAATTGTTTGACAATCGCAGCAGTACCTCCAGCGCAACGAAGCGGCAAAATTCCTAGGGCTCGATATGGATTTTGTCGATCCCTTGGAGCCGGTGAATCGAAGCGTCAGTGTTCCATTCTACCCACTCCTTCTGCCGCTCCGTGCCTCTTTACTTTGACGCAACAGTTTTGGCAACAATCATCGAATATATCATAGAATCGGCGAGGCAGGGGAAGAGAAGGGGAATTCCAAGGTTTCAGTTTCACGGCCATCACCGATTCCAATCGATCCCTCAACCTCATCGATGTAAGTAACTGTTCAGTGGGTTGCATGTTCAATTAATTGACTGTGGTCGTTGAATAATGAATTCTCCAGCTGCTTCATAGTCCCTTCCCCAACCGGTACCAACGCCTTTCAATTCACATTGTGGATAATTGACGAACTATGGGCACTCTGTTTTCCTGCTGATGGGATCGCGTTATCATAAAAAGAGGGCAAGTAATTAGAAGAAGAGAGTAATTGGAAGAAGCCACCACAAGTTGGTCGACATGAAGATGAAGAGGATAGGGATCAGGAGCAACCGATCAATACCAGGAACAGCTCTTCTCTCTTTAATTCATTTAGAACTCATGATGTTGGCCAAATTTAGAAAGCCAATCAGGTACAAGTTGGGAGGTGGGGGTGGTCCAGCCGTCCAGTTATGGATTCAATCTCAATAAAAGAGATCAAGGGTAGGTAAGCTACTAATTTTTTGAAGGTAGGGAGACTTAGAAGTGATTAAAAGAGAACTGCATGGGAATGGAGCTAATAAAGTGACATTTGTTGCCATCAATTATTCATCTTCTCCACGTGTAGTGGGATGTCATTGGTCTTGGTGAATAATGCAAGAGAAGGGAAGAGAACTTATGGAGTTATGTCATCAGAAAGAGGATTTGTGGATTAAGATTAAGAAAAATAGGTTCACTTTTAGACAAAAGTTGTGAATGGCATATGCTATCTAAAATTTAGGTAATAGATAGTCTTCTATTAAAAAACGTCAAGTTAGGAAAACTATAAACTCATTAAGTAATTATCATGTAAATATGTATTTTGAGTTTTACTTGAGAAGAACTATCATAGTTTAACATTTGTGTAACATATTTATGGACTAAGTTTTTAATAATAGTTTATTCGTCCAACACATTCGAATTTGAAATGTATCAGAGAAGTGGAAGAAAAAAAAAAACACATGACGGCCAACTTTTTTTAATTCAGCATTGTAGATTGTATGTACAATCATAATTGCAATCGAATATTTAAAAAAATATCACCAAAACGAAATAGGTTTATTCATTCTATAACTCAAACTTCATTTTCCTATATATCACATATGTATTACATCCAATCAAATTATTGCATAGTTCATTATATTCAATTATTTAGACCATAAGTATAAAAGGTTCATTTACAAAACTAATGCCACAACATATAAAAATCTTAAAAATAAAATTGTACAAGATCCCGAAGCAACGCTCGGGCCAATTATCTAGTATATATTATTAGTGTATAGTTATATAGTTATATAGCATGGTGGTATCCGTAATGTTGGATAGTATATAAGATTATATGGTGGTGGTATGGAAGTATACGTACCATGCAGGATAAATAGTTATTACAATGGGCGTATACATGATCAGTGACGGATCCAGAAATTTTATATAGGAGTGTCCCTAGCTGTCTTTGGGATGGATCACTATGTTGATGTTCTTCATTGGTCGCACTCTTTTTTCGGGAACGGATCCTATACATAACTTTGTGATCAATAACCATGCATAATCTAATCAAAATTTGCCACATCAGCATCCATTCTCTTTCCTATAAAGTTTTTAATTTTCCCTCTTTATCTTTAACGGACGATTTCTCACTCGTTTTAAGTCGGAATTTTTTTTTGCACACTTAGATCAGATTAATTGTACTCTTCAAAATGATATCCAGTTTTATATTTTTTATGAAATTTTTTCACCCTACAGTTTTTGGATCCAATAAATCATGATTAAATCGTTCATTTTGTGCAAAAAATTCCGAAAACGACTTGAAAACGAAGGAGATACCATATGATATGGAGTTGGTAACGAGATGTATGAATTTTTTTTTATCAAAAAATATTGAAAATAGATCTCATTTTGTAGAGCACAACAAACTCGTTCCATCTGTACAATTTTTTTTTTAAAATCCGAATTAGAATGAATAAGAAAAATAGCAGAAATAAAATGTCTTTAGTTCACAACCATAACATTTGCCGCCCATTTAAAAAGAAGGGTTCAAATTTGAGTATCATGTTAAACATAGGAAAATTATGTTATGCACACTAATTTGAACTTTTGTTGCTCATTATAGTGGTTGTCCACCAAATGTTTATATGATACTCTAGAAATTTGTTAACCAACTCAAGAACCTCATGAGCCACTCAACAATTAGTCCAACCAATTGGTTTTGAATTTTTTGTTTTGTTAAATTGTTACAAATATTCAATAGATTGGACGAAGAGAACTGCTATTAATCACCTTGCTCAAGAGTCGAGAGCTAACATTAATTACCTCCCCCCCTCTCTTACCAGAAAAAAGCTCCCCTTTTGACCTCACTCGTCCCTTGCTTTCCCTTTGAGATGGCCCAAATCATTGTGAGCTCTATTGCGGGAACGCTGCTTTCCGTGCTGCAGGATAAGCTCTTTGACGAGGTTGCCGCTATTCCCCGACTTGAGCTCCGGCAACTCCAGGACACCGTCTCTACCATCGAGGCAGTCCTCCTCGACGCCGAACAGAGGCAGGTCCACGACAACAGTGTCAAACAGTGGCTGGAGAGGCTGTCGTTGGTGCTGTACGATGCCGATGATGTGTTCGACGATTACTCCACCGAGGCTGCTCGCCGCCGGACAGCAACCGCGAAGGAGGGTCCCAGACAGGAGGTGAATTGTGTGAGCTGGGTAACCTCCATTCTCCCTCCCCTTTTAGGACAATTTCTTTATGCCCGTAAGGTGAATCGTGATATCAAGGCTATTAGGGAGAAGCTGGATGACATATCCAAAGACAGGGAGGAGTTAGAACTGGAAGCTCGTACCCCAGCTGATGAGTATGCTCTTCTTCCTTCATTGAGGGAGACGGACTCCGGGTCAACCGCGGTTGTTGGCAGAGGAGACGATATAGCAAAACTGACGGGAGTTTTGTTGAATTACGAGTCGGGAAAGAGCATATCCGTTATCTCCGTAGTTGGCATGCCAGGGATAGGGAAGACCGCGCTAGCTCAACTCCTATTCAACGACGAAATCATCAAACAGCACTTTGAATTGAGAGTGTGGGTGAGTCTCTCGGATAATTTTCATGTTGGATGGATAGTCAGAAGGATAGTGGAATCCACAACTGACCAGAGGATAGAAATGTTGGAGATGAACGAGCTGGTTCATATGCTGCAGCGAAGCATTGGGGCGAGGAGGTATTTGCTTGTTCTTGACGATGTTCATAACCAGGATTCTGGCCTATGGGGTTCTCTTTTAGATCTGTTGAAGCTTGGTGGAGCTGGAAGCAAGGTCCTAGTAACCGCTCGTTCTGAGCAGGTAGCAACTGCTGCTAGGTCTAAGATGCATAAACTCCTAGGCTTATCTCCCGAGGCAAGCTGGAATTTGTTCAGTCAAGTAGTGTTTGATGGAGAAGAACAAAGAGATGCTAGAGTTAGAGAACTTGGTTGGGGGATTGTAGAGAAATGCCATGGCAATCCTCTTTTGATAAAAACATTAGGTGGGTCATTGGCTGGTAAGGATCCGAAAACTGAATGGCCGTCTACTGCGGATGACAAGATCTTGGGAGAAGGTCATCAGACTGATGATGACATGTATTCAGCACTCAGGTTGATCTATCAACAACTTCCCTCATATTTGAAGTTATGTTTTGAGTACTGCAGTTTGTTTCCCAAAGATTCTGAGATTGAGGTGCAGACCTTGATTCATCTCTGGATTGCTCACGGATTAATTAAGTGTCCTCAAGTGCAGCAAGACAACATTGAAGATGTTGCCTACGGTCACTTCCTTGAGCTTCTACGGAGGTTTTTTGTTGAAGAAGGGGAAAAAGATGACTTTGGCAAAGTCAGAACTTTCCAGATCAACAATTTGATGCACAGTCTTGCCAAAACGGTAGCTGGGACAAAAAACAGCACGGTGAGAAGAAATGAAGACCAAAATGAACAAATCAGCAAGGAAGTTCGCCATCTGACCTTTTCCTGTCACTTGGATGCTTCGATTGAACTCCCAGCCGGTGTCATCCGTGCTAAATCATTGCGGACGGTCTTTCTAGCCAACCAGGAGTTGCGGTCAAGCAACAGAATCAGACGGGGGAGATCCATACTAAAGGATTTCTGCTCTAGCTTGGAGCGCTTACGAGCACTTGATGTTCACAACTCGGGAATTGAGCAAGTGCCAGCATCCATTAGAAATATGAAAAGTCTAAGATATCTTGATCTTTCTGAAAATGATGACATAAAGCTACTCCCAGATTCAATCACCGACCTGTGGAATTTGCAAGTCTTGAAGATCTCTGGATGTGAACGGCTGAAGCAGTTACCAATCAGTATTGGGAGGCTGGTTAATCTTAGACATCTCTATTGTGAAGGGTGTTGGAATATGACCCATATGCCTCGTAGCATCGGGGAACTAACTTCCCTTATAACCTTGACCTGGTTTGTCCTCCCCAAAGACCTCTCTGCCTCTCATTTCCTAACAGTTGGGTTGACTAAGCTGGGTCGTGTTGATCCTAGAGCAGCTGAGTTGAGTAAGCTGGTCATGAATCACACGGCAGCTGGGTTAAATGAGCTGGGACGCTTGAATCAATTGAAGGGACGACTCGAGATTAGAAATCTGGGAGCATATATGAAAAATGCTAATCGGTCGGAGTTGGAATCAACCAGTTTTTTCAGAGCAAAGAAGGGTCTCCAATCATTGAGCTTATGCTGGGATCCAAATTTGGATGAGAAAGCAAGTATATTCGATGTGGATGACCAACATCACTGGTCTCTAAAATGTCTGGAGCCGCCCCCACAACTAACAGAGTTGCAGTTGTGTGAGTATGGAGGCCATGAATTTCCTGCTTGGATTTCTTCTCTCAAGAATCTCATCAGCCTCCAGGTGCAAGATTGCCAAAATTTTCGATCTCTGCCAGCGTTGGAGGATTTCCCACTTCTCAAATTCTGCCGGCTTGAGAGTCTACCTCAGTTGGAGTTCATGGACAACAACTGCTCGAGGGTTGAGGGACATAGTAGTTCCTTGTTTCAATCCCTGAAGAAACTATATATCTTCAAGTGTCCTAAACTGAGGGGATGGTGGAAGGAAGGTATTGAAGATGGTGCAATCATATCATCTCAGTTCCATGGTCTATCTACCTTGGAAATTCGCGATTGTCCTAAACTGGATCAGATGCCCCTGTTTCCCAGTTTGGATGAGAAGCTTCTTTTGGAGAATGCTAGCTTAGTTCCACTGCGTCAGACTATGCAGATTCAGGAGGCTGCCATAGCTAGGCCTTCTTCATCTTCAACTCCATTGCCTCACCCGCTCTCCAAACTAAAAAGTATCTGGATTTCATCAATTGAGGAGCAGCAAGTCCTCCCAGAAGATTGGCTGCAGGAATTGATTTCTCTCCAAGAATTACGAATCGACTGCTGGACGAGTCTAGCATTTCTGCCTCCAGGGATGAGTCGCCTGACCAATCTGAGAGAGTTGGATATTCGCAGATGTCCGCAACTGAAGCAGAGATGTGCTGGAAACAAGGCTGCAGACTGGTCCAACGTATCTCACATCTCGAATATCAAAATTGACAAGAAAACTATTCAGTTGGGTGGAATTTATCAGCTGTGTGATGAAGAATCTGCTGCACTTATAGCAAACTTCTCTTTGGTCCATCCTCTCTCCAGGATAAGCAGTGTGACGATTGAGGATCTTGAATACCTACCCTCAGAATGGCTGCAGACACTCGCAACTCTGAAAAAGCTCAAAATTGTTAACTGTCCGAGTTTGGAGTGTCGTCCTCAGGAGCTGCATTACCTTACTTCACTGCAGAGGCTGCAGATTAAACAACGCAACTAGCTGGCTTGATGCATGTACACTGATGCATTCCAACTGCTTGATGAAGTGATTCGTCTAAATCCTTGCCCGTGTGTTAGACTGTGCCGCTGTTGTAGGAGAAGAAGATGGATTGCTTTGATGTGTCACTGAGACCATTGGAGAGAAGGGACAGAATCGCTTCTTCAAGCAAACAATTGTAGGAACAATCTCCACTGGAAATAACAGTGAGAATTACCTAGGTCCATGTTCCTCGTCAAACATCGGAAAGAGCACCATTTTGTGTTTGGTTTTTGTCTCTGTCTTTCAATTTTCCATTTCAATTTTTTACTCCAAGATATTTTCAATATGAAATTTATTTAAACGTTTCATCTTGTGTTTTATTCAAGGATTGTCAAACCGTATTGGATGTTGCACCGGAAGTGGCAGGGCATTTTTGTGCTTAAATCATGGTTTTGCCGGGGTTTAACAATTTTATACCGCTAAAACTGCCTTCGGTTTGAGCTCTGGTTTTCGATAATTCTTGTCCCTCGGGCTGATCTGGTACTCTTTCTAAAACATTGGTTTTAAATTCTTTATTAAGCAAATTGTGCCTTGATTGCTGATGCTGCAGTCTAGAGAAGCCAAAGACAGAGTACTAGTCGGAACAAAACCCATGTTGACTTGCCAAATGTTAAACAAAGTGACTGCAGATATCTCAGAGAACAAATGGCATGAAAGAGCACCAGACGGAGAAGTTGCTGAACAGTGTTCACATAATAGAATTACTTGGTTCGCATCTTCTGCAAATGTCAACACCAGCCTGTAAGCGCATATACATTTTGCCAAATAATTAAATTACATTATCATGTGATGCAGGGGAGATGATCAATTACCAAATATGATATGTTCTGGGCATTTGAACCCTCCTACTCAACTTGTCTTTTTTATATTACTCGTTCCCACCTAAATCTCTATGTTTGACTATTTTAATTTGGGTTGTTTCTTCTTTTTTTGTCTAGTGGAAGGAGAAAATATAAAGAAAGACTCGATTCAGCAGTTGACTTGACAAACTGCTGCCAAAACACAAAGCCCTTGTGCAACAACAGAGTTGATTAAAGTGGACTAATCCAGTTCTTCGCTTGAGGAAGGAAACTCTACAATTGAGAGGGCCAAAGAAGAGATGTTGGGTTCCATCAAGACAATTTGGACAGAATGGAACATCAGGGGAGCTGTTCTCCTCAGCCTCTTACTGCAGGTCACCCTCATTGTTCTCTCTCCTTTCAGGAGACGTACATCAACCAAGTGGCTAGTCTCGCCGATTTGGTTAGCTTACTTGGTGGCTGATATGGTCGCAACATTCGCCATTGGGCTCATCTCCAAGACCCACATCACCAATCAGGAGGATCCTTCTTCTGCTGAGAGCCCCGACACTGATTTCCTCTCATTCTGGACACCTTTCCTTCTGGTGCACCTTGGCGGCCCCGACACAATCACGGCATTTGCTCTCGAGGACAACCAGCTATGGGTCAGACACTTGCTCAGTTTCTCCCTTCAGATTTTTTCCACTGTCTACTTTTTCTATCTCTCCTTTTCCAACAACAAGCTAAAGATCCCCACGTTGCTCATGTTTATTGCTGGGGTCATCAAATACTTGGAGAGGACTTGTTCTTTGTATCTCGCCAGCAAGAGTAAGTTCAGAAATGATATGATCAGAGAGCCAGACCCAGGGTTGGACTATGATAAGGCTGCCAAATATGCACAGTGGCGATCAGAGTCGTCACAGTTGCCAGATCAGCAGCAAACGTTGCTTGATCAGCCGGGGACAAGGGAAGGGGAGACACTGGGAGACTTGGAGTTGGTAAAAAAAGGTTATGGCAACTTCAAAACCCTCAAGGGACTTCTTGCTGATTTGATTCTGGGATTTGAAATCCGGGAGTTCAGCCGTGGGTTCTTCTTCCACAAGGCATCTGCAGAAAATGCACTGCGAGTGTTGGAGGTCGAGCTCAATTTCGCATACGAAGTTCTCTACACTAAGGTTTCGGTTGTGCATTCGAGTTTGGGCAGAAACGCCCGCCTCGTCGCCATCTCGGCAGTCCTGCTGGCACTCTCGGTCTTTCATTTCCGGGGAAGAAAGTTCAAGAGCAGCGACATTGACGTTGACGTCACGTACGCATTGTTGTTCGGGGCAATAGCGCTGGACTTGTTGGCATTCATCATGTCGAGTCTCTCAGACTGGACCGTGGTAGCTTCGATGCAGCAGCAAAAGTCCGAGTCATGGTGGAAACATCATATCCTGAATCAGTTTTACGATTGGGTATTGGCTGCTCATGTGAAGCTTCTTCATAAGTCTGACATTCTGTACAAAAAGCAGAAGAAGCAGGAGACCGGCGAGCAAACAGATCTAGCAAGGCCTATTCTTTACAGGAGGTGGTGTCGTTCTGTACTGGGATTTAACCTGTTGAGATATTGCATTAGCAAGCCATGTAAAATTGGTTTCGGCCTCCAAAGCTTCTTAGATGAGTGGAGGTTCAAGTCCACCAAGCCGCTCACCTTGGAGCTCTGGGAGTTTATTTTCCTCGAGCTGAAATCAAAATCAGAGTTCATCGACGATGCAGAGAGTGTGAGGAAGAGATGTTTGGCAAGAGGCGAAGTCGTTCTGGAGAGGAATGGATTGAACAAGGGCCGCGTGGATCTGATGCCTTACATTGTGGATGTTACTTACGACGAGAGCCTGTTGCTGTGGCATATTGCTACCGAGCTCTTGCACAACACAAAGAAATTGCCCGAGGAATGTGGCGGAAGGAGAAATGAAGAGTTAAGCAAATTCCTCTCAGATTACATGATGTACCTCCTCATAATGCAGCCTACGATGATGGCAACTGTTTCAGGTACAAAGTCGGGTGGCTAACCAGTTTCGATTCTCCTGTTACTCAACCAATGTTCTGTTTTAGGTTTCACATTTTAGCTCTTCTTGTTTTTTAATAATCAGGTATAGGCAAGATAAGGTTCGAGGATACTTGTGCAGAGGCCAGAAGATTCTTCGAGAGGCGGGGCATCGGGAGAAACGAGGTGAGGAACGGCTGTAAGAGGATCATGGACGTGAAGACAGAGGTCCAGCCCACTACGGTGAAGGGGCGAAGCAGTATGACCGTGCTGTTCTCGGCAAGCATGCTTGCTAAGGAGCTGGAGAAGCTGGAGGGGGAGAGGAAGTGGAAGGTAATAGCTGAAGTGTGGGTGGAGTTGCTGTGTTATGCTGCCATCAACTGCGAGAAGACGGCACACGCCCAACAAGTGAGCAAAGGAGGGGAGCTCATCACTTATGTGTGGCTCATGATGGCTCACTTTGGCTTGTCGATGCAGTTCCAAGAGAACGCCAGCTCCTTGCTACGGGTCTAATATGATGTGGTTTAGCATACGATTCTGGGAACCTGTTTGGCTCGAATCATCTCAAGTTGCAGTACGGTAATTTATGTGTTGGGTCATGTCGAGATGTGGGTCGAAACTGGTGCTGAATTATTACTAGCTAGTTGTGGGTCACATTACGGCTGCTGATCATAAGCATGTTCAGTAGAAATAGCATCAAGCAGATCACATGTTCAGTAGGAATTTGGTCTATGATCCTGTGTAATGCTTTAACATTGGAAGTTGTTTCTTCTAGGAGACTTGAAGAAGGCTATCATAGGCCACCGCCAGAGTAGTCTACTCTCTTCAACAGCATCTCCAGTTTCAGATTACGAAACCCTGCTTTTCGCCGAATAAACAGATGAGCATATTATCCAAATGTAGCAAAACCCGGATGCAATGAGAGCTTGAATGCTCACCGATGATTGATTCAGTGCAAAATGCAACTCTCATCTCGCTTAATGCATCCCAACAGTGCACCATCTTTACAATGGAAAGTTGGCCTCGAGTGTCATCGGAACACCTTCTGCGTCCTTGAGTTTCCGGAGCTCGTTTCTCGGAGAGCACAAGGGTCCAATCTGCTCCTTTGCCAAGCTACCCAACTTTCCACGAATCTGTTTTGCAACCGGGAATTTGCTGCAGTAGAATGCTTAATGTCAGACTAAATTATTGAACAAGTAAATGATCATAACAGAGCAAAACTTGGAAAGATAATCAGCAAAATGCAAGATCTATTGTGAAAGAACCAACTGATTGCTCTGCTGCAGCACACACTGAGAATTCGGGACATACAGAACAGAAGAAATATCCGTATAATGGCTTTCTTTTCTTCTTTACAGAGGCGTGCATCGTACAAATGTAGAAATGTGGAAGAAGATAGAGAATTAACACCCTACTCTGCCTGTGCAATCTCTCATTCCAAACCCCATTTAAATGCTCTTCCGTCCAGCATTATCTCTGGTACGTGGGAAATGTTGGGCCAATCTTCCCCTTTCCCCTTTCTGCATCTGTCATTCAATTGAGGACACTCCAGAATATCTAGTTTTTGCAAAGAATGAAGGTTCCTCACTGCACTCAAGGATGCTAATCTCGAACATTTGACGATCTCCAACACTTGAAGAGACGTCAAGTTGCTGAGCCCTTCTTCCGGGAGAGTCTCGAGGTCGTCCATCTCCACAAGCTGCAATGATGTCAACTTGGACAAAGGAGGAGAGCTTGCCATTGTTGTTGTTTTCATGTTCATTGTACGTAGAAGTGACTGCGACCCGGTTTTACGCAGCTCCAACCTAGTTTCTACAGTTGGAAACAGAGGCATCCGAGTCAGGTTCGGACAATCCACTACCTCCAACCGGCGAAGGCAAGGGAAAGACGGCCAATCTTCTTCCACCATCACGCCATTCCCATTGTCAATCCACAGTCCTTTTAGATTGGGGCAAGCGTCGATCACGAGCTCCCTCAAAGATGGGAGTTGATGCAACGGTGGGAGGTACTCGCATTCCCTGCAATCTTCCAGTGAAAGCTCCACAAGATTGGTGATGGTGGACAGCCAGTTGGCGAGCTTTGCGCCTCCATAATTGAGTATCATCAGTTTTTTCAGATTTGGATGTGGGCAAAGAGCTTCAAGTATCTCTTCATCAATAGTAGAAGCATAATCACCATCGTTGTCGTCGTCACTATTGTTGTACTCCCAGTCTAAAACCAAGGACTGAAGAAATGGTTTCTCCTTCAAGACATGAACACCATAACCAACTGATTCAGCCTTCACCAAGTTTTTAATGGTTAACTCTCCACGCAATGCATTCAACGCTTTCAGCTCGTCCAATCCCCCAACTTCTTCCTCCATCTTGTTATCATTTCCTCTGCTCTTCTTCTTCTTCTTGCTGACCACAAAAACTGGTAAAGTTTGAAGGGAAGTTAATTCCCCAATCCCTTTTGGCATGTGGGTCAATTTCACCCCCAAGGGATAGAGGTACAGATGCATCAAATTAACCATCTTTTTTATGTCCCTCGGTAGTTCTTTTAGAAGGCGACACCAACTGAGGTCCAGCACCTGCAGATTCACAAGGTTGGTGATCGGGTCCGGGAGCTTTGCCATTCCATCGAAATTGAGACGAAGAAATCTCAAATGCTTCAAACCACTAACGGAGTCCAGCAGTTTGGAAGAGGAGCCTGAATCCAATCCTCGTACATACAATATCAACACTCGCAAGCGTATGAAGTTGTTGAGGACTCGTTCGAATTCTTCTCGTACGAAAGATACATCGTCACTTATCAATGTTCGCACCTTGCTTGCATCTGCTGTCCCGTCACAGCCACTATGAACTTCTCCAACTACATCGCCATAATGCCTAACCACTGCCAAGTGACGAGTTCCCAAAGAAGCATGTTCTAGAATGGCTGATTTTGGCCTTTTGAAGATCTTTGTTCCTGTAACTGAGGCAGCTAATTCGTGCATTAAATCATGCATTCTGCATATCTGCAGATTCCCCAGCGCATCCATCTCCACCTCTTGAAAGAATGATCTCCACCATAACGTCTTGAAATACCGCAAACCCATATTCAATTCCAAGCCTCGATCTGCTGATTCAATGTACCCTTGGGCTCTCCAAAACTGGACCAGCCTTTGAACATCGAATACATGACCCTTCGGGAACAACTTACAGTAAGCAAAACAACGTTTTACGTGTGCAGGAAGATGATTGAAACTTAGCCTGAGAGCTGACATGATAGGATTTTCTCCTTCAGATATGGTCCAAAGTTCCTTCTGCAGAAACAAGGGCCACTCTGTTTCAGGATCTGTGGAACTTAACAAACCAGCTACCATGTTCACAGCAAGGGGAACCCCGCAACATTTCCCTAATATCTCTCTCGCGATGCTCTCTACGTTAGAGCTTTGTGGGACTACTCCAGCCTTCTTCACCATTAAGTTCCAAGCCTCATCAAGCTCCAAGCCTTCCAAGAAATAAGGCAACGCCACCAAACTAGTACTCGTTGCAGGCTTCAAAATCTTGCTGCTGACTTCTGCAACTAGCCTAGACCGTGTTGTCACCAGAACTTTACTACCAGGTGCACCAACAGTCAGATACTTCCCCAAAGCCTCCCAACTTCCTTCATTCTCCTCCCAAACATCGTCCAACACGAACAAGAACCTCTTCCCTCTAATCTTGTCCTGGAACAGAACTTTCAAAACATCCAATGCAAGATCCGCAGGCTGGCTCTTGCGATTTATCGATTCCAACATCTTTGCCAGAATCGCTTTGATATCGAAATTCTGCGAAACATACACCCAGACTTTGATTTCAAAGCTCTCAATCATTCGTTCGTCGTCAAAAGCAAGCTGAGCAAGAGTAGTCTTCCCCAACCCACCAATCCCAACAATTGGAACAACGGAGATATTGTCCCCACTCTCAAAATCAAGCAACAATTCAACAATTTTACTATGGTCATCTTTCCTCCCAACAACGATCGTCGGCGGACAAGAATCCGTCTCCCTGAACGGAAGACTGGCTAGGTCGTCGTCAACGCGAACTTCCAAATGGAAATTGTCCTTATCCTTAGACAGAAGCTCCAGCTTCTCCCTAATGGCCCTGATTTCGCGAGCCATCCGATAACCATACATCAATTGCTTCGAAGAAGAACATACCGTGGTACTCCAGCAAGTCGTCTTTCTTCTCTCGACATAATCATCTTCTGCTGCTGCTGCTGCCAGCTTCTTGAGCGCTGCCTCGGTGGCGAAATCGTCGAGCAGATCGTCGACATCGTACATCACCTCGGACAGCTTCTCGAGCCAGTCTTTGACCTGGCGATTGTGGAATTGTTGCTCTTCCGCGTCGAGGAGGACGGCATGGATGGCAGAGACTGTGACTTTGAGGTTTTGGAGCTCGGTTTGGAGTGTGCAGAAGAGTGAGATATGGTGGAGAGCTAAGTCAGAAAGCTTTTCGACGATTTGGGTTACGATGGGGGAGAGGACGATTGAAGCCATGGGTTTTGGGGAAATGAGGCAAAGGTAGCTCTCTGCCGCTGGGAAGCGAGGCAAAGGTTAGATCAGGACTGGTGGTAAGTGGTAACTGGTAATTGGTGAAGAAGACTTTCCTGGCGCAGAATACCTTTTTCTGGCGCCGTTTATTTTGAATTACTTTTTTGGGTTAATACCTTATTTTGGCCCGAACTATGAACATATAATCAACTTTGGCCCGTGGTTTTAGAAATTAACATCCTGGCCTCAACTATGCAGCATATAGACTCAATTGGCCCGACACATAGTTTGACCGTCAATTTGGACGGTCAACTCCGTTGACCGTTAGTCAACATGCCATGTCATTGCCTAGTCAGCCTAAAAATCATTAAAAAATCTAAATTCAAATTATATTCCTAATTTCTATTATTTATTATTTTCCAATTAACCAATAAATAAAATTATAAAATATAAAAATAATTTTTTTGGGATATTTGAAAATGATAAATTTTATAAATTAACCAAAAATTATCAAATTAAATTTTATAAATTTAAAAATTATGATATAAATTATATTTTTGTGGGAAGTTTTAAAAATATAAAATAATTTGTTAATTTTTGGTTAATTTATAAAATTTATCATTTTTCAAATTATCCAAAAAATAAAAAATCAAATATATTTTATGTTTTTAATAATTTATTTTTGGTTAATTTGATAATAAATAAGAAAAATTAGAAAAATAATTAGAATATGCATTTTTTAATGATTTTTAGGCTGACTAGGCAATGACATGGCGTGTTGACTAACGGTCAACGGAGTTGACCGTCCAAATTGACGGTCAAACTATGTGTCGGGCCAATTGAGTCTATATGCTGCATAGTTGAGGTCAGGATGTTAATTTCTGAAACCACGGGCCAAAGTTGATTATATGGTCATAGTTCGGGCCAAAATAAGGTATTAACCCTACTTTTTTTAATCTTTTGGGAAATGAGCATGGTCGATGAAACCGTACCGAGAAAGTCAGCGATAAAATACTTTATGGTCACCGTAGTTCAACCGTTAGTACCGTTAAATATCGCTTATTGGTTTAGCTTCCGATACTAATATTTCGTGGTTGAACCGCAGATACGATACGGTTACATGAATATTGGATGTGTTGCTGGTTTAGAACCATTTTCTCTCTCTCAAGAAACAGAGGCCAATTGTGTCCTAAACTCCCAAGTTGTATTAATTAATCGTTCATATTCATGGGTAGTCCACATTACATCAAAAGAAAGTTAGTGGCTAAGCCTCAAATTAAAAACATCAATCAAATGAGCTCCAAAATGATGACCATGGCCTTTGTTAGCTAAGAAATCGGCTGAGTGGTTGCATTCTCTAAAGACATGAGTGATATGTACATCCCAATTCAGCTCCAAGTGTCTGTTGATTTCAAGTGTAAGAAGCATGGATGTGTTAGCAGGTGTAAATTAATGGGTTAATTATTGTTGGGTTAGAGCTTCTTTGTACGTAGTTATTAGGCCCAATGATGTTGCCCATTTACGTAGAGCCCATGTAACCTATGCATGGACACCACATTGGCTGTAGATGGTGATCCTAGGGTTCGGCTAAGGGTTTCCTTCTTCCTTGTATATGAGCAGCCGAGTTAGGCAAGTGTGAGGTAACAATCACAATCAATAATATCAGTAGCTAGAAGAGCGTTCAGAGCTCTTCCGTGGATTAGTCCTGGATCATTCCGGGGATACCACGTAAATCCGGTGTCAGTTATTTCATTGTCATTTTCGATTGATCAACATGGTATCAAAGCTTCCGCCGCTGAATTCCGATCGTCCTTCTGTCCGTCTGACGTCAACAAATTTCGCTTTATGGGAATTCCAATTCCATGTGTTCGTGGAGGGTCATGGTTTGCTAGGTATTCTCGACGGGACTGTTCCGCAGCCGCGTCCAACCCTTCCCGCATCTGAGATCGAGCAATGGAATCAACGAGATGCTCGTGTCCGTCATTGGCTGCTCGGATCAGTCGATCCCTCAACTTGCTTGAGCCTTCGCCTATTTGCTACCGCGCATCAAATGATGCAGCGTCTGAAAGCCACTTACTCGACCGTGAATGTTGCTCGGCAGTTCGAGCTACAGACAGCTTTAGCTCGCCTTGAGCAAGGCGACTCGTCCGTCACCGAGTACTTCAACAACGCTCAGGAATTGTGGACTGAACATGACATCATTCAAGCCACGATTTGTCCTCAAGCTGTTACCGCAGATGCTCTTGCCGAGAGGCAACAAACCCGGCTGTTTCAGTTCCTGATGAGATTGCGCCCAGAATTTGAGGCTGTGCGCACGACATTGCTTAACCAAGCAGAGTTGCAATTTGATGGTATGCTGGGGGTTTTGGTTCGTGAAGAAACTCGGTTACGAACCCAAGCCCAGCTCGATGTGCGACCTGGAGCAGGAGAGTCGGTTTTTTCGGCCTCTCAATCCACCGCCTATGCTGCTGATCGACTTCAGTTTCAGCGTCGAACTCCGATCTCCGAATTGGAGTGTCATCACTGCCACGAACGTGGCCACCTGAAGAAACACTGCCGTGGGTGGAACTTTTGTGTTTATTGCAAGAGGACTGGCCACATTGTGCTTGACTGCCGCACTCGGCAGCGTCATGAGGCGGCGCACAAGGAGGGACGACAGCAGCACCTTATCAACGCCCTTCATCTGCTCCTGTCTCGTTTTCGGGGTCTTCTTCTCGTCCTCATGATCGCCCAGCAGCACCCGCCATGGATCGTCCAACACGGCAAGCATATATGGCCGACGCAAGCACCAGTGGCAGCGGCAATGGCCTGTCCGCCCAGGATATTGAGCATATGGTTAATGCTGCACTCCAGAGATCACTCCCGACGGCTATAAATGCTGCCTTTGCCACACTTCATGGAACCACGGGTAAGAAACTCCCTTGGATCCTCGATTCTGGCTGTTTCAACCATATGACGTGTGATTCTAGTTGTTTAACAAATGTGCTGTCGGTTAATGATTTGTCTTTGCGGGTAGCGAATGGTGATCAATTGCAAGTCAGTGGTGTGGGTATGATGCATGATTCTCCGCTTAACTTACCTCATACCCTTCATGTTCCGCAACTTGTTCCTAATTTAGTCTCTGTGGGACAACTTACCGATGCTGGCTGTTCTGTTTTATTTGCACCGTCTGGTTGTGTTATCCAGGACCTGAAGACGGGGAGGCAGATCGGCAAAGGGAGTAAACGGGGGAGGATCTTTCACTTGGAAGAGCTTGAGAAATCTTCATCATCATTGTCTATCAGTAATCATCGTGATAGGTCCGTCAGTAGTCCTGCGTCTTTTCCTACATGTTTTTCGAGTCAATCTAGTGATGTTTGGGACCTTTGGCACAATCGTTTAGGACATCCTCATTCGAGTCGTTTGGCTGTGATGTTTAGACAGTCTTTGCTTGGTAATAATAATGCTTGTACCTCTGCGAAACATTCTTGCACGAGTTGTGTAGAAGCAAAAACCAGTAGTCGGTCATTTCCTTCTAGTACCACTGTTATTGATCAACCTTTACATGTTATTCATACCGATCTGTGGGGCCCTTCGTCTGTTCTTTCTCGCCATGGTTTTCGCTATTTTGCCTTGTTTATTGATCATGCTACGCGCTTCACTTGGGTTTATTTCCTGCGTCAAAAATCGGAACTCCGCTCTGTAGCTACTGAATTTCTGAAAATGATACATACTCAATTTGATCGACCAGTGAAAATAGTGCGATATGATCCTGGTGGGGAATTTAGTTCCTTTCCCTTGCATGAGGTTTATCGTTCTCTAGGAATTCTAAGTCAAATGTCTTGTCCCGGTGTTTCCCAACAAAATGGCCTGGTTGAACGCAAAAATCGTCATGTTTTAGATCTTACTCGTGCTCTTCTTCTTGCCTCTAATGTTCCTAGTCGTTTTAGGCCTGAAGCAGTAGCTACAGCTGTCCGTCTTATCAATTATCAGGTTACCCCGGTCTTGCAAAACACCAGCCCTTACTTTGCCTTATACTCTAAACATCCTGACTATACTCGTCTTCGTGTTTTTGGCTCGCTTTGCTTTGTTCTTCTTCCACGGCGCGAGCGTACTAAACTGTCTTCTAAAACCGCTAGGTGTGTCTTTCTTGGGTATAGTGATGTGCATAAAGGCTATTTATGTTTTGATCCTCAATCTCAGCGTATGCGCATTGCTACTACCGATGTTTTCTTTGAAAATATCATGTTTTACTCCGATGCTTCTTCTTCCCCTAGTTTTCTGCCCTCTACTGTGTCCTTGCCTGGTTTTAGTCATGATGATATTGATGGTGTTGATTTGCTTCCACCGATTCCCCCTGAAGCTCCCGACTCCGATTTGTCTTCCCCCAGCAGCCCATTGTCCAGCTCATCAGCGCCCTCTTCGCCACATCACACGCCCAGCTCCACCAGTTCGGCGCCTTCATCAGCGCCTGTCTCTACCTCGCCACCAAGTACCGCTTCTGCTGCCTCGTCCTCATCCCAAGGCGCATCCCCTACTACACCGCCAGCACCGCTTCTTCGCCATTCCACGAGATCCACCAGAGGTATACCCCCCCCCCCGAAATTTAATGATTATGTTGCTCATGGGGTGGATGCATTTCTTGTTCCTACTCGCTTCCGACAAGCTCAAGGGGATCCGGTTTGGGACTATGCGATGAAGAAAGAATTGGATGCTTTGCATGCCAATAACACTTGGACTCTGGTTCCGAGACCTCCACCTTCTACTTCTGTTGTTGGCTGCCGTTGGGTGTACACGATAAAAATGAATCCTGATGGTACGATTGATCGTCATAAGGCCCGCTTGGTTGCTCAAGGATTTACACAGGAACTGGGAATCGATTACAGCGAGACCTTTGCCCCGGTAGCTAAGATGTCCACTGTTCGTACTCTATTGGTTGTTGCTTCTCTGCAGAATTGGCCTTTGTATCAGTTGGATGTGAAGAATGCGTTTCTTCACGGTGATTTGGATGAGGTCATTTATATGGAATGCCCTCCTGGATATACTCTGGGTACTGCTGATCAGGTTTGCCGTCTTAATCGTTCTTTGTATGGTCTTAAACAGGCACCCCGTGCCTGGTTTGAGAAATTCCAGGCTACTATCACTGCTCTTGGTTATCAACAGAGTTTGAATGATCCTTCTCTTTTCACCAAGAAGACCTCGTCTGGGCTGGTTGCTTTACTGCTTTATGTTGACGATATGGTTATCACTGGGTCTGATCCTGCCGGCATTCAGAGTTTAAAATCTGGTCTTAGTGAGGCGTTTAATCTTAAGGACTTGGGCGATCTATCTTACTTCCTAGGTCTTGAGGTTACTCGCAATGCCAAGGGTCTTCTCTTGAGTCAGCGTAAGTACATATCCAATCTGCTGTCTGATCACCAATTTCATGACTGCAAGCCTGTCTCTACACCGATGGAGCCTAACCTACATCTCAGTCGTACATCTGGTACTCCTCTTTCGGATGCTGCTGCTTATCGGAGTATTGTTGGGAGCCTGATATATCTTGCTGCTACTCGCCCAGACATTTCTTATCCTGTGCAGGTTGTGAGTCAGTTCATGGCCTCTCCCTGTACTGATCATTTGGCTGCTGTTCATCGTATCCTCCGGTATCTTCAGGGCACTCGTGATGTTGGTATGTTCTTTCCTTCCTCCGGTGCATTGGCTCTTCATGCTTACTCCGACTCTGATTTTGCTGGCTGTGTCGACACTCGGCGTTCTACTACTGGCTGGGCCGTTCAATTTGGCTCTGCCTTTATCTCTTGGCGTTGTAAGAAGCAAGACAAGGTCTCCAAGTCCTCCACCGAAGCTGAATACCGCGCCATGTCTGATGTCGCTTCTGAGCTTGTTTGGTTACGTCGTCTTCTCCGTGATCTGGGTGTGCTCTGTCCTCTTCCTATGGATCTGTTTGTGGATAATACCAGCGCTATTCGGATTGCTGTTAATCCTGTTCTTCATGATCGCACCAAGCACATCGAAATACATGTTCACTACATCCGCGATCTCGTTGGTGACGGTAACATTACTCTTCATTATGTTCGCACGGAGGATCAGATTGCTGATATTTTCACGAAGGCCTTCTCCACCAGTCGCCATTGGTATCTCTCGAGCAAATTGATGCTTTGTGATCAGCATCAATTTGGGGGAGGCTGTTAGCAGGTGTAAATTAATGGGTTAATTATTGTTGGGTTAGAGCTTCTTTGTACGTAGTTATTAGGCCCAATGATGTTGCCCATTTACGTAGAGCCCATGTAACCTATGCATGGACACCACGTTGGCTGTAGATGGTGATCCTAGGGTTCGGCTAAGGGTTTCCTTCTTCCTTGTATATGAGCAGCCGAGTTAGGCAAGTGTGAGGTAACAATCACAATCAATAATATCAGTAGCTAGAAGAGCGTTCAGAGCTCTTCCGTGGATTAGTCCTGGATCATTCCGGGGATACCACGTAAATCCGGTGTCAGTTATTTCATTGTCATTTCCGATTGATCAACAGGATGGAGCCATGATTCTTTATTGGGGGGCCAACGATTTTTTTCTGTGATTTTTTTTTTCCAATATACTTGTAGCAACGAATATACATCACATTTAAATAGATCATGATTTTTTTTATAAAATTGCCTTATAAAATAACCAAAGTGCCAAAGGTATACATCCACCGCCAAGTCCAAACCAAACAAGCCAACCATACACCATATGGCCATGGTTGTTCAAAGGAGATGATTCTTCACAAGCTGACTTTGAATCACCCCCTACACCATTTTTTCCCTTCTGACCCTTACCATCACTTTGGACTTGGGCATGCTTGCCTTGGTCAGACACTATCACTTTGGAACCTGTGGTCATAGAGTTGTCCACCTCAATACTAGCATGATCATCCTCATTTTGTTGTGTTGGTCTCACCATCTGATCAGGTACTACTGGGTATTGCCCCTTTCGTGCTTTGACATTCTTACGTAGGAATCTCCTCCTTTGAGTCTTTGTCATCCCCCCAATAGCTACTGGTTGACTATGCATATCATAAGTATGCCCCCCTCCTTGTGGCACATTGGGCATCTTAGAAGTCCTTCTCATGGGAAGAGGGCCATGTGCCACCCATTGCTTTCTTTGCCCCCATGTCGCTTGAATGACCCCCTCTACTTGTTTAATTCAGGATCAATTGTGTTTGGTTCTCATTGATGGAGGCAGGGAGAGGAATTTAATTTCCTCCAGGATCGTGAGCAAGTTAGGGCTGCAATCGCAACTACATCCAAAGCCCTACATCTTGCAATTGCCGTACGAGAAATACTCAAGTTTTGTGCTTTCCCAGGTGGCAGTGAAGTTCTTGATTGGTCAATATGAAGATCAGGTATGGTGTGACGTGGTCTACAATCTCCCCAGTGGAATTATTTTGGGACAGCCTTGGTTCTATGATCGACAAGTTCGGCTGGTTAGCAGAAGGAGCAAGAAATTCCGCTTGCAGAGTCAAAGAAAGATGTTCGTATTGAATCCGTTGGCTCCAGAAGAAGCTGCCGAAGACTTGAAGACGCTGCAAAGTCTCCAGGAAGAATATCGTAAGGCTTTGCTGGAGAAGCCGTTGACGTTGAGAGACGACCCAGTAAAGACGCTGGCCGGAACAAGACACCCCTGTTCTGCTTTGACGAAACAGAGGACGCGATCGGAAGAAGTCGTCACGATGATGAAGGGTGAGTCGAGTGACGCCAAAGACACTGTCGACTTGCTTGAAGGCGAAGGAATGATTATCCCAATGCCAGACACTTTGGGAACAGAAGGTAGTGCTTCCATCCAATGCTCTGGTGACGGGAAACTCTGTTTCTCCACGATGGAGCAGAGCAGGAGAGAGAAGGGGTTGGTCGGAGCGCTCGAGGCAACGTCGACCTCAACCACTGACTCCCACACATTCCCTATACCCCTAGAAATCTCTCACCTCAATCAATTGGGAACGATCCCTTCTATCTTACAGAATCACGATCGAGCTCCCAAGCCCCTGGACGCGCACAAAGAAGAAGGAAAAATGTGCGAATGGGTTGGAGCTTCTGAGAGTGAAACGAAACCAATGGCCCTTGAAGAAGCATCAAATACAGTCCCAGTAACGTGTCGTGCTGGTCAATTGGAGTCGAATCCCGACGAGGTGAAAACACCCAATTCAGAAATTTCTCCCCAAAACGCGAAGAATAGCGAGCAAGAGAAGGGTGAATTGGTTGGAGAGGATGAGATTGAATCGAAGCCATTGGAGACTGTGGACACATTCGTAAGGTCGCAAGGATTCTGTAGAACCAAGGAATTGAGCGCGGAGAAGCCGGAATCAAAAACCCCTAATTTAATTTTGGGGTCGCCGGTTTCTGGAAATTGTTCGCCGGTTTCTGGGTTTGAGCTGCCGGATTCTGGGAATTCGAATTTTTCCGGTGGCGGGAAACATAGGAATTGCGCTTGGGATCGATTCAGGAAGAATCGAAGCGTGGGAATGAATGGAATCGACTCATGAAGGCCCTGGAAATCAGTTGGAGGCAACGAACTGGATCAAAACAGCGTGAATTGGAAATCCCCAATTTTGAAGAACTCGCCGGAAAGTTGCAATCCGCCGGATTCTGGAAAATTCTCGCCGGAGTTAGAAACTTTCCACGAGCTGATTCTCGGTCATAGATCTTTCAATTCATTCGTAGGAAAGGGTCCGTGGTGTTCGACGACGATGCTAGAAGTGGCTGGAGCTGAAATTGAAGGCGTAATTTTTATTCCGAAAATTGTGTTTGAGCAGCCCACTTTCGATTCAATTTGGGATTGATTCTGTGATTTTTTTGACAAAAGGAAAGATCAAGCTTTGAGGTCAAAGCTTTTTGAAGAGGGGGAGCTTGATATGATCCTAATAGGGTCAATCATTGATCCACAATTACTTGTCAAAGAAGCTATCAAGGTTGGAAAGAAGAAGGGTATAATTTGGTTTTGGAACAGTGTCATGGTACATACTTTGGAGGCATGGTTCTCGCAATTGGCTTGGTGGAAATTCATGTTTAAGTGTTTGTTTAACAGATAAAGGTACCATGTTTCCAATGGTATGCTTTTTGGATCCAGAAGATGTCATTAAGGTTGTTTTCCAAGGCCTCAAAGTTGTTACTTCAAAACTGGAAAACTGTCAGAAAATGACTAAGGCTGAAAACTGTTTTGAGATACCAACTTTGAAGGCCTATATCTGGAGATTGGAGCATGATCTCAGGCTGATCCAAGTTGGAGGTGAAAGAGGAAGTTTTCTTCTACAAAGGAAAGGAATTGGCTGAATTCGAATCAACCTAGAAGACCATTTTCGAAGGGCTCAAAGATGCTATGAAGCCTGTTTTCCTAGGCATACTTGCTTGTGTATTAAGTCAGTTTCTTGGCCAGCAAGTTACCTTGTTTTACACGAATTATTTAGCCTTTTCCTGTTTTAATTTGTTTCCTTGTTAGTTTAGAATTGTATTAGGTTTTCTTGGCTATAAATAGCCTTCCATTTACGTTGTAAAAGCAGAAGAGTTGATTAATCGAAAAGAAACCGTTTGGTTTGTTCAAGTTTGCGAACTTGTTTTGGGTTTGGTGGATTTCAAACTTGCTGAGCTTGTGTATCGATTGAATAGTCACTTCAATCGTGGTCGAGCAACTACCCTTTTATACCAATCGAGCTATCCCCAGGTGTGGATTTGTCCTTTTGGTTCCGTTTTATCCAAGTTCGTATAAAGAACGCGTTGTTCTTGATTCGAGCTCAATCGATTCTTCGATTGACTCGTTTGCTGCGTTACTTTGATAAACATACACCCCCCAGGGGTATATCATCTACGGTACCCCAGGTGAAATCCGGGGTACCGCATACCTTAAGTACGAAAACGCTATCTAGACCTCGAATTAACAGAATTTTTGGGCATGATACTATACCCTAACCCTTAATGAGTGAACCCTAGGTCCTAATTATCTAAATCATAAACTATAAATCCTAAGATGGTGCATTGATTTTTTTTGCCTATATTTGGACGAATCATAACCGTTGATTATTATTTCTAATTAAATTGATCTTGGGGTATAAGATTTAGAGAATTAAGACCTAGATTTTGATCTTTAAGGGTTAGAGTGTAGTATCATGTTCGAAAGATCAGTCAATTCAAGTTCTGGATAGCGTTTTCTTACTCAAGGTATGCGGTACCCGGGATTTCACCCGGGGTACCGTAGAACTCCCCATATATAATATATATATTTCTACTTTTTTATTGTATATAATAAGTTGTTACAAGCATCATTGATCTCCATACCCTTTGGCAATAACCAAAGTGCCAAAGGTATACATCCACTGCCAAGTCCAAACCAAACAAGCCAACCATACACCATATGGCCATGGTTGTTCAAAGGAGATGATTCTTCACAAGCTGACTTTGAATCACTCCCTACACCATTTTTTCCCTTCTGACCCTTACCATCACTTTGGACTTGGGCATGCTTGCCCTGGTCAGACACTATCACTTTGGAACTCGTGGTCATAGAGTTGTCCACCTCAATACTAGCATGACCATCCTCATTTTGTTGTGTTGGTCTCACCATCTGATCAGGTACTATTGGGTATTGCCCCTTTCGTGCTTTGGCATTCTTACGTAGGAATCTCCTCCTTTGAGTCTTTGTCATCCCCCCAATAGCTACTGGTTGACTATGCATATCATAAGTATGCCCCCCTCCTTGTGGCACATTGGGCATCTTAGAAGTCCTTCTCATGGGAAGAGGGCCATGTGCCACCCATTGCTTTCTTTGCCCCCATGTCGGTTGAATGACCCCCTCTACTTCTCTTTGATAGGATGGGTATCTCGGCCTATGGGGTGGACCAATTCTTTTTTGGACTGGTCGATTCGGTCTCACCTCATCAAGTCTAGAACTCCTTTTGCATTGGGCACATAGCTTCTCCACCTCACTTGACACCTTAGAAGCGGCCGAGTTGGCCTGCGAACCCTTCGATGACTCTCCCTGCTCGAACACCATGGTGGGGGTCCCTTGTTGCGGTGTTGTATCCAACACCAGCTTGAAACGGGGGATCTCAATTTTTGAGAAGTCTGGGTTAACCATGTTGACACCAAGCAAGTTCGGAAATGGGTTGGTATCCACCATAAATGGCATCTTTCTTTAGCTCGGGGAGCTTGATGCGACCCTTCTCAATGACATCCTGCAATATATTGCGAAAAACCACACATGAGTTTGTGGAGTGTAGCATGTTGTTATGCCACTTACAATATGTTTTCCCTCTTAACTTCTCAGGGGGTGGGATGTTATGCCCCCCCCCCCCTGTCAAATTGATTGAACCATCTTTGTAGAGTTGGTCAAATATCAAGTCGGCTTTAGAAATATCAAATGAATACTTTCGTGGCTGGATGGGGGCACAATTTGGTCTACCCCCTTGTGGTTCATTGTCCATATTACCCAAAGGAGCACATACATATGGCTTCCCCAGATTTAACTCAGCCAGGTCTACCTCCACCTCATTGGCCTCTTGGCCAATATGGTTGACAGGGTAGCCGATGTTGGGGAAGTATTGCCCCCTTGAGGCACTCCTCCTATTCTCCTCTTCTTGAAGAAGAGATTCATATCTCACCGCACAAGACATGAGTTGGAACAAGGCAGAGAATTCTCTATCTTGGAATTTCTTTCTTAACTCAAAACTCAACCCCCCTTATGCTAACTTGACAAACTCTCTCTCTGTCAAGTTGACAAAACAACGGTTACGAGCATTCTTGAAGTTTGTCAAGAAGTGCTCCACCGACTCCCCTGGCTCTTGGCGCATGCGCGCCAAATCAGCCATGGAAACCTCACGCTCAGATCTATAGAACTGAGCATGGAAGATTTTCTCCATCTGCTGCCATGTTTGGATGGAGTTGGATGGCAAGTTGACATACCAAGCAAAAACAGGTCCTGTCAATGAGGTTTCACATACTCTTAACTTAATAAAATCTCCTACATCCCCACATTGGACAGTAAAACGTCCAATGTGCTCCACAGTAGACTAGTCCCCTGTCCCAGTGAATGTGGCAAACTCGGGCACTCTAAACCCCCTTGGGAATGGTTAGAGTCTATCCACCCACTCAGGGTATGGTTTTCGATAAACAGGTGGCATGGTGGGTCTCACTCCCATGCCAAATTGCTCGGCAAGAAGTTGAGCCACCTGATCCCTTAGAGTATTGGGATCATGCCCCCCTGGTTGCCCCCCTTGGGGTACGAAACCCATGGGGTCCATGCCATGCCCATTGAAATGGGGTGGCATGGGTGTTGGGTATGCTCTGGGAGGAACTTGATCTCCCCCACCTAAGCCTACTCCCCCTGATACGAGCCAAGTCAGAACTTGAACTCTCAATTACGCAGCGAAACAAGAATGGTAGTGTGATGATGGGTTTTGGACTAGTCGAATAGGGTTTTGGCGGATAAAAAGGGACCAAGCAAGCAACTTCAACACTACGGGGAAGAGGCTGGTTTGGGAAGAAGAACACCCCGAGATCAAAGGTGATGGATTTGATCTCGAAGTCTGCAAGTCCAAGATCTCGATCCAAGACCAAATTCAAGCACTCGTGCTCAAGAAAACTCCTCGGAGTAACTTTGATTCAACTCAATGATAACGCGTGTTCTTTACAATGGATGACAAAGCTATTTATAGCCAAAATAACATAACCTAATCCTATTAAAACAATGAAAACGAATTCAAGTGCAACAAGGAAAGAAATTAACACAAATAATCAAAACTTGCACACTAAGTAAGCTGTCCCAAAAACAGTCCTTGATGTCAACTTCGTGGTTCTGGAAATCGGTCTTCTGGGTTGAGTCGAGCTCAACCAATTCCTTCCCTTGGTTTAGAAAGTCTTGCCCTTCCATTCCCAACTCCAAGCTCCAGCTGGTCATGCCCCAAACTCCTTGAATCCGAGCTCAAAGTTGGTACCTCAAACTGCTTCCCTGCCTTAGCCAAAAACTGGCAGATTCCAGAGTGCATGATAGGGTTTTGATGGCTTTGGAAAACAACCCTCCTGACCTTCTTTCCACAATCCAAATGCATCAAACCATCAACAAACATCCAGGGTTCAAAATAAGACCCTAACCTTGCATTTCCAATGAGAGGTTTGAGAGAAATCGCCCTCCAAAGTACCCTTCCCAAAACTGTCTCAACACTTAGAAAATTTCCAGCCAAGTTCGTATTAACTTGACCCGATCTTTGAACGTTTTGTTTGAGATGATTCAAGGGTGGAATTGAGATCATATCACCCCCTCCCATGTGAGTAGACACCGTATAGGGTGGCGGTTCCACTGGAGTAGAATGTGTCACTCCCAAATTCTCACCACGTGGGGGAATTTCTCCAACTCCCACATTGGGTATCCCTTCCACTTGAGTAGTGGCAGGAATCTCGCCGCGATTCATGCGGTGAGGAGTTGGTTGGTTTGTCATCGGCGGAAAGAGGTTATCTTGCCGTGGCTGACCATTTCCGCCGCCGACGGGAGATGAACTAGAATTTACAGAACTGTTAATGGGGTTTGGATTCCCGCCATCTAAAGGCAGAGCTCTAGATTGGATTATTGGTGTGGTTAAGAATCTTCTAAACTCATCAAAATCACTTTTGTTCTTATTAACCACTTCAAATAATTGACTTAGACGTCTATCAACTCTAGAATTAAGACAGTCCATTTGTGAATTTACTTGATGAAAAGTAGCTCTAGCCTCCTCCATCATGCGGCGGTTCTCCACCATCATTTGGCGGTTCTCCTCTGTGGCTTGACGGTTCTCTGCCACCAGTTTGCGGTTCTCCTCCATCATTTGACGAAGGACCCCCACTGCTTCACCATTATCTCCACTAGGCGTCGCCGTTGGTAGGATCTCCGCCCCACCATTGTTTCTGGCCACCGCCTCTGACACTTGGCCATGTTCAATGTTGGCCACCTGCTCCTCCATAAAACCAGCCGGAGGGTCACCTTCTTGATTCCTCCGCCTCGGAGCCATCAAACCGACCACGTGTCCCACCAGGTGTGCCAATTTTTTTTTCCCGGCGAGAAAAATAAAGGAAAGAGAATTGGATTTTTGCACCTTTGACTTCCAAAAAAACGATCAAATAACACAGTTCACGCCTCTTTGAAGAAACTTCAAACAAGGTTGTTCAATGTTTTGATGAACTACGAGGCAAATCTACATTAAATTAGCCCTACTCCTAAGGAGGTTCAGCGAGAGCTCCAAAAACTACGGCTATGGCTAAAATCTGCAGAGGAAAAGATAAAAAGATAAAACTTGACAAGTGGTGTCGAGTTGTGATTTTTGCGAACCATTTCTCTGTCATCTTCACCTCCTATTTATACCCACCAGAAGTAACTACCCCAAAAAACCGCTCTGCTGACGTGGAGTGACGGTTACCCACTCAACTGCTATGACGGTTATCTTGATGTTGAATGTGGGATCCTCTTCAGTCTTGACTTCCTCCTCTTGAGACTTCAACCTGCTCTTGGCATCTCCTTCGTAGTTTTGCTTATCCATAGAGTAAAAATGGCTAAGGCATAAAGAAATACCACTTACCACATATGGGTGGGTATTTGAATAACATTAGTTAAAAATGGCAAAAAGTACTTCACCATTAGTAGAGTAAAGAGACCACCTGCTCACATGATCCCCTTGTCTTGGCCATACCATGGGGGGTGTACATTGGTGACCCCCTCACCATACCATTGGGCATCCTCCATGGGGGTCATATGGATCACCCCCGCCACTATATCATCCTCATGGGAGCCGGCGTTGGTGACCCCCCCCCCTCCCCACCCCCTGATCATGCCATGGGGGTGGTACGTTGGTGGTCCCTCTCACTATACCATTGGGGGCATCCCCCATGGGGTCATATGGATCACCCCACCACTATATCATCCTCATGGGAGCTGGCGTTGGTGACCCCTCACCCCCTGATCATACCAGGGGGTGCTATGTTGGTGGTCCTCATACCACCTCATGGGGGCACTCCTTCCACCCTCATCATCTTCCATGTCATGGGGGTGGCAGTATGATGTCCACCCCCCTTGCCACGTTCTGGGGGTGGTGGTATGATGGCCACCCCCCTTGCCACGTCCTGGGGGTGATATGATGATGCCCACCCCCCTCTGCGTGTCATGAGGGTGGCTCCCATACTTAGTGAAATTTGGATATGAATGGCGCGCGAGGTGGCACGAAGTAATGGGCCCAAAAAACCAATCATCCTGGCCCACTCAACTGATTTAAACTGATATGATTAAGTTTGCCTTATAAAGCCATTTAATTCCTTGTTTTTAACCGATGTGGTACTAGGTTAATTTTTATGGGTAAACAGTAACCATTCGTACGTAACCGTCAATCCAGTCGCTCATTTAATAAGGTCGAACCTGAACCCAAGCGTTGGGGTGTTACAGTTCTCCTGTAGAAGCCAGTAGAAAATCCATCTGCCCCTAGAGCCTTTTAGGAATTCATTCCAACTACCACACTACGCACCTCCTCTGCTGTGACATCCTAAATAAGAGCGCACATTCAGCTGATGTGATTAAAGAAGCGTGGACCTTCTTTCTGAGGGTTGATATGCATGTTAGATTCTCTAGTAGTTTGTTAAAGTAGGCAACCACTTCCTCCAGTATCTGTTCAGACTGAAAAAATCTCCTCACCAGACTCATTTATCAGCTTCTTGATAGCCCTTTTTGAGTTTCTAATTTTCACAGCTTGATTAAAGAAGCGTGGACCTTTTTGTTAACCAAGATACTCTGGATTTCTGCCAACAAAAGATCTCATAAGCAGAAGATAGCTGATCAAAGTGATCCTTAGTTTGTGTGACTGCCTCAAAATGTTCTGCTATAGGATCTGAAGAATTCCTAGTTTGAGCTCTTAGCAGCTCAGCTTCAGCCGCTTTAACATGATCTTGAAGATCTCCATAAACCTCTTTATTAAATTTTTCAGAGCTTTTTTAATCTCTCGCAACTTGCCCTGACCAATCTGTAAGGGCGTCCTAGAGATTTCAACTTTTCAGGCTTCTTCTACTATTCCCATAAAAAGCGGATACTCTGTCGAAAATTCAAAGTACTTGAATGGTTTGGGCATATACTTAATTGGAGCCACTATACTAATTTGCACACCATAATGATCAGAAAAGTTTGCAGGAAATACCTCCATAGCACAATCTTTGAAAGACTCAATCCACTTTAGATTGACCAAAGCACTATCTAGCTTCCTATCAATAGGATGATTGACCTGCCATGTTAGGCCATGTTTATTGAGGGTCAGTATTCTGTAGTCCAATAACTCCACCTTCCCAATCCACTTGTTGAAATCCTCCATACTAGACTTCTTTTGTTTTTCATTAATCTAATTTATTCCAAAATTGGTCCTAAAAAATGATTGTAGTTAAATTAAATTTCATTTTAGAGTTTTGGCTACTTTGGAACATAGAGAGTTTTTTTGTGTTAGATATATATCCTTGTGTTTTTATTTTTCAGGGTGAGGTTCGGGTATTTTTCTAAGACTACAAAATTAAGTTAAAAATAAAGGTTAAATGAAAAGGGTTGAAGTGTCGTTGATAATTTAGTGTTTATAATATGGTAAGAGTTAATATGACTTCAAACAATGTGAAACGGTGAACATTTGAAACGTGAAGAGAATTAGTACGAGATTAAGTTATACACATGGACCTAAGTCCGTTGACTGTAAATTATTATATATAAAAATGTGCATATATAGCTTACTCATAACCCTTGAATCTATGGAAATCGAATAACACAATTTTGGGAATCTTGATATTTTTTTTATTTATTCCTTATGCAACTGAGACTTCTTTTGATTACAAAAATGGTTAACCAACTTAGCAACGATACATTTGTGGTTTCATTTCTTATATTCTACTTAGTTGGAATGATGTCATATTAAGCAAGAGTTTTTTTAACCAAGATATGCCTCCAGGGCATGGCTTAACAACAAATATAAAAGACAGACAATAATAAAGAACGATAGTCCGTATGCAACCGGGCTCCCGATGAAAGAGCCTTTTTTGCCATTAGGTGGGCAAAAAGACACGATACTGACTCGGATAGAGAGAAAGAGGAGAATACTTCCCCACAAATACCCCGTCTGAGAAACCATCATGATTACGACAAATGCTAAGACAAAGGAAAGATTTCATGCATACTAAAATAAACAAAATAGCTCATACATGGAGATACAAAACTCTATCGCAAGAGATAGAAGCGAGCCTTTTTAAGGGAAAAAATGAAATAACCGAAAGAAAAAAGAAAATATGTTTTATATAATCAACAAGGTGAAACAATTTGTAAAGCTCTTGGTGTAGTGCAAAATATGTCTACTAACGCGACCATTATTATATATAATTAAAATAAATTCTAGAGATAAAATGATAAAACATGAACTGGAAAAAAAACCCAAAATAATAATAAAATGCTAAACCATGAAAAAAAATTACTTATCTCGAAGAATGGAAGAACAAGAATACTAAAAAAAACAAACAAAACTAAGTTAAGAAACAACAATTAAAAAAATACAATTTGAATGATGGGCTTTCCTAATATATAGCCTCGGAAGAGATGAATCGAACATGCTCTGTATTTCACTTTCAACTAGAACATACTACTGAAACACCTTATTTAAAGGCTCGTGTCTGGGGCACTATATTTCTTTGAATAAAGATAAAAGAGTTAGAAGGTCCACTATGGAACTTATAGAGTTTTTATTTATGATAAATACATCCTTTTGTTTTATTTTTCCAGAGTTTTAGAGGTTGGGATGTTTTTCTATGACTACAATTTAAGAGAAGCTTGATATTTTTTTATTTTTTATTTGTGCAACTGAGACTTCTTCTGATTGCAAAAATGGTTAACCCTTTTAGCAACGACACATTTGTGGTTCAATTTTTTATGTCCTACTTAGTTGGAATGATGTCATATTAGGTAAGAGTTGAGAATCCATAAAAGCAGAGTGATGAGAAATCTTGATCGAGTACAAAAAACCAAATATAAACAATGGATTGTATATCATGACATAAAAAAACTCACCATGAAAACTCAAACAAACTTCATTATGTAGATGATTACTATTTTAAGAAGTCAATTGAAAACTCCTAACAAAATCTAAAATTTTCATAATTCATTAAATAATAAATCTAAAAAATATTACGGTCAACTGGCCGGTTCCAAACTAGTTTATGTAAATACTCTTCTTCGAGTACTCCAACATACCCATCTCAAAAATCACATAACATAATATATACCAAAGTATGTCCTTAAATTGTAGTTTTCTTTTTGACATCCTCAAACCTAGGGTTGAGGATGTCAAACTATAACTGCATAACGAATTCATTATCTGGTTGGCAATCTCTATCTGCCAATCTCATTACCCAATTACCTTTGAAGGATCCATGTTTAATACTTACCAACAACAACCAAACCCAACATCAAGAATTTACAAAATCAAATTCCCTCTCAATTAATTGGCGTTTCATGAGTTCGAAAGCAATTCCCCCCTCAGCATATCAAGGCCAAAGTTCTATCCAAGCAATCATCATCGTCGTCGTCGTCATCATTCGATCAAGATGGCGTCCGAGACCACAACCGTGGAAGGTTGGACGAGCGGGGTCATCAACGTATGCCTCAACGAATCCATCCCGACGTCCCTCGACACGTCGGTATTCTGGAAACTGGCCAGGCCCGAGAACGAAAACAATCACACGTTCATCCATTACGTTCCTTACTACTTCGTGCAATTTGCTGCCATCCTCTTCGGCATCAACGTCATTTCGGCCATCCTCAAGCCATTACGCTTCCCTCGTTTTTCGGTCGAATTGCTGGTACGATTATCCATTCATTAATATACCCAAATCCTTCTTCATCAAAGATTGTACATTTATGTGGTGATTGAAATTAATAATTGTTTGTACATGCATGCAGGCTGGAATTTTGATTGGCCAGGGATTGCGAACATGGGCTAGGGTTTATGCCATTCCTACTAATAGCCTCAAGGTGCTCGACACTTTGGGACATGCGAGCCTCATTTACTACGTGTTCTTGGTGGGGCTCGAGATCGACCTGCGCACGGTTAGACACATAGGAAAAGAGGCGGTCTACACGGGTTTAACCGGGACGATACTTCCTCTCTTCGTAGGGTTCGTCGAGTTCTTCGTAATGGCAGCTGATCCAAGATACACAAATTTCTTCTCCCAGGAGTTCTGGGAGAATCTGGCTCCGGTCAAGCTGACCGGACCCGTGTTTTGGGGAGTCGCCCTCACCGTCACCAGCTTCCCCGATCTCGCCAGGATACTCTCAGACACCAAGCTCCTCCACACCGACATGGGGAGGCTGGCCCTGTCGTCCTCCATCATCAGCGAGCTCACGACGTGGATCCTTCTGGTCATCGCGCTCACGCTGAACAACGGCACATTGAACCCTTTGTACCTCCTCCCGACGTTCGCCTTCTTCGCCGCGTCCTGGTTCCTGGTGCGCCCCGCGGCCACGTGGTTCCTCAGGCACGCGGACGAGACGGACAACAAGCTGCTCCTCAACTTCACCATCTTCGGCGGGATCCTGTCCTCGTCGATCATCACCGAGGCTTGTGGCGCCAACTCGATGATTGGCGCCTTCGTGTTCGGGCTCGTCATCCCCAGTGGGGATGTCTACACCGTGAAGCTCATGGAGATATTCGAGGAGTACGTCAAGGGGATCCTGATGCCCGTGTTTTTCATGGATAACGGGGTGAGGAGCAGCCTGGCTGCCCTCACCGCCAACTCCGTGTTCGTGACGCCTCCCCACGCCATCTTCCTCCTCGTGGTACTCGCCTGGTCGGCCAAGATCGTCGGTACTTTTGTTTTCTCCAAACTTTCGGGGATGAGTAGCCGTGACGCGTTCACGCTCGGAGTCCTCATGAACACGAAAGGGGTTCTCGCTCTAGTCGTCATCAACACGGGCCGCAACAACCAGGGCCTCAGCCAAGTAATGTTCCTCACGCTGGTACTCTCGATGCTGTTCATGTCCGTCACGATCATGCCCTTGGTCCGAGCGGCGAACAAGTCCACCAGAAAATCTAGCCAATTCAAGCGCAGAACAATGGAGAGCAACAAGCTGGAGTCGGAGCTCAGGGTGCTGGCGTGCATCCATACGACGCGTAATCTTTCGGGGATGGTCTACCTCCTCGAGTCCTCCAACGGAAGCAAGCAGTACCCGATATCGGTGTTCGCTCTCCACTTGGTCCAGCTCACCGATCGACGTGCCACGGCAATGCTAATCGTCCACGACAACAGCAGCAACCACAACAAGCACAACAACAACATCTCCCGCCACAGTTTCGAAGGATCGGGGCAGAACCTGAGCCGTCGAGAGGAGGAGTCGCAGCACATCATCATGACGTTCGAGAGCCTCGAGAATCGAGGCGCGTCGGTGTCTGCTCAGTCGCTCACCGTGGTGTCCCCGTACGCCACGATGCACGAGGACATCACCTGCCTAGGGGAGGACAAGAGGGTGACGCTGATCCTCGTGCCTTTCCACAAGCAAGCTGATGTCTACGGGAGGTTTCAGGACGAGAACACGAACTGGAGGACGATGAACAAGAACCTCATGGCCACGACGACTTGCTCCATAGGTATACTCGTGGACCGTGGGCTAGGCAGCAGCTCGAAGGACGTGACAACAACGTCGCGATCTCAATCCTCGTTCGTTGTTATCTTCATTGGAGGGCCGGATGATCGGGAGGCGCTTGCTTATGGCTGGAGGATGGCTAAATCGCCTAATGTCAACCTCACCATGCTTCGGCTCCTCTCTGTCGACGACGACGATGATGGTGATGGTGATGTACACGGTGACAATATCGAAGATGTAACGGTCGAACGGGGAGGAGCGACGATGAGGAGCAAGAGAGACGAGAGCGAGTTGGACGACGAGTACGTGAACGAGTTCAGGTTCAGGACCATGCAGGACGAGAGCATAAAGTACGTCGAGAAGCAAGTGAAGTCCGGGGATGAGGTGATCACGATGATTGGACGAGTGGTGACATCTTGTGATCTCTACATACTGGGACAGAGCAAAAACGTGAGGTCGTCGATCATGTCGGGGTTGTCGGAATGGACGGAGTACGACGAGTTGGGCGTGTTGGGAGACACGTTGATGGCTTCCGAATTCGCACAACGATCCTCCCTTCTTGTTCTCAAGCAACATTATGTTCCCGGGATGCGTATGTGGATTCGTCGCGACGCCGACAACAGCAAGAACAATGACAATGGTAGGGTTTCACTAGCGTTTTCCAACAGTAACGCCAACGTCATTTCAAATGATGTGCGGATCAACCGTCCACCCATGCCGCGGCAATAACCCAATGCCAAAAAGAATTACAATGTACTAATTCTAACTCGAAAAACATCCTAATTAACTAGTGTAACGATAGTTTTTCAAAAATACGTTTTTTTTTTCTCTCTTCTTTCCTTGAATCGCTTCTTCTTCCTTCACTGCAAGAAAATCTAACTTTAGAGATAAATAATTAGAAACAATTATTGTATTAGTTCCTATATCTAATCTATTGTTGCAAATATATTATTTGTCTCAATATATCATACTAATGGTCTCCGTAACTTAATTCTTTTTCTTCATTTATATGAGATAAGTTAAATTAATTGATTTAGAGACAATTACTCTATTTGCTACTGTATAATTAGGGCTGATAATCGGTGGGCGGTTATTCGGTCAAACCGTAAACCGAACCGAAATATGCGGTTACACGGTCAACCGAAAACCGATAATTATATTTCGGTGTCGGTGGCGGTTTGCTGAATTTGGGATTTATGGTAACCGGCAACCGACGGTTGCAAACCGAGACGAACTCGGTGGACCGCATAAAACCGACGAATTGCTCCCCCTGCTCCAAACCTCTCCCTCTCGCCGCTCTTCCCCTTTCGCATAGCCCCTGTCTTTGCTCCAAACCACTCCCTCTCACCACAGTTCCCTTTCTGCATCGCCACTCTGCTCCCTCTCCCTCTCGCTGGCCGCTGCTATTCCCCTTCTGCATCGCCACTCTCCTCCTTCTCTCTGCTCCAACCAAAAATAGATGATCTAGTCCTCCCTCCTCTGACCGCAGCCCAGTGGTTCCCAATTCCAGACTCCCCTCCTCTCTGTTGCTAGGTTCAAGATCAGCTATTGCATGCCCTTTCTTCCTAATTTTCTTCTTCCGACGACATTTTCCTCCCCTTCCTGGTTGATAGAGACTGCCGCAGAGGGAGAGCATCAAGGGATTCGGTGGAATAGATCAATCTCCACCGTCCATGGCGAATTTGGCGGTGGGTATCCGAGGCGCAGTCCTCCCATCTACCAATCCCATCGATCTGCCTGACTCCTCCGACTCCAGGCGGCTCTTTCTTCCTCCTCTGTCGCCGGGTTTGTCGCCTGAACTGAGATTCGATGGGAGTGCTCTCTCTTCTTCCTCTGCCGCTGGTTCAAAGTTGGAATTTTCCGGTGACATGCAAAGTCATGGCGGTGGTCGGAGGTGGTGTGTGTCGGTTTCGGCAAACCGCAGCCAAAAACCGAAACCGCCGGTTGCGGTTGGCGGTTAACCGAAGACCCCTTCGGTGTCGGCTTCGGTTGGCCGTGCTAGATGATTCTCGGTCTCGGCTAACCGCGGTTGCGGTTCGGTTAAAACCGAAACCGCACCGCTAACAGGCCTATGTATAATATAAAAACAAAGCATGTTCAGAGGCATATGTAATTGTCTCGGAATGTTTTATCTTTATAAATAGATATATACAATCACAGTTAGAATCAGGAACAAATACAATAGCTACCTATAATAAAAATAACAAAATACAAAATCACGTGGGCTTCCAACACAAATAAAAAGGGATAAGATAACCAGGGGAGAAAAGAAAACATAAATTAAGAGGGTCTTTCCCTCGGTAGTCGGTAGATAGTTTTGGCGGGAGGGGGTTTTCTTTGGCGGGAGGAGTAATTAATAAACCAAAATTACAGAGAGCAAAAAAAAAAAAGAATTGGGACCTTACCTCTACCTTCTGGGAATTGAAAACAAGGTTTGCGACACCATTATCCCTCTCAACCGCGAGCAGAGCGGCCGGCGTTGCGATCGATACAGACTCCTCCTCCGATCCGCTCCCGCTAATTGTTGCGGGCTTTGTTTGGATGTGGCTTCTGTTTCACTTATCCTCGCTACTTGTTGGGAAGCTGAAAGCAGAGCTCGAAAATTAGGAGAAAAACAAAGTAAGGAGTAGCGATCCAGCTTAACTTTTGAAGGTTAGTAGCTTGACTTCCATCTTTTTCTTCAATCTGTCTTCTGATAATATCTGTAAGTTTATCTTGCCTTCAAATGATTTCTTTTACCAGTGAGTCTTATAGTGACTAATTGTTTTCTGAACAAAAAAATTGTTTGTGGTTGAATTCATGCTTTCAGTGGAGGGGTTCTGGTCTTTTAAACGATCTCTCTAAAGCTAGAAAGAGTTTATATTTATTCCATGGTCAATGATAATTTTGCTAATTTTTTCGATTGTTTCACTTTAGAGCTGCAATTTGGTTAAAGGATTGGCAAAATACACTTCTATATCCATAACTTTCACCTTTGTGACAAATATATCCATAACTATCGAAATACACGAAATATCCAGAAAATTGTACTATCGTGTGACAAATCTATCCATTTCCGTTACAAACTTTAATGCCGTTTGTTACGGCGTCAGTAAATGTAACGGAACAGTGAGTAGGACCATACCCATCTCCCACCTAAGCTCCAGGTCAGCAAATTTTTCCACGTGGACGCCATGTCATCAATTTCCCCCCCCCCCCCCCCCCCTTACAGTCGAGGACTGCCTTCCCACTCCTTGTTTCTCAAACTCGAATTAGGGTTCCTACCTTCTTTCTAATCGGCTGCGCTGGAGAAGAGGTTGCTGCCCGCCGCCGATCCAAGGGTTCCCTCCGACAGCAGCCCTCACCACGCCCCTAGTCGCGTCCCTGGCGGCGCCTCCACCCCCTTTTTCTCAAACTCGAATTAGGGTTCCTAGAGAACCATTTTAATCGGCTGCGCTGGAGTAGAGCTTGCTGCCCGCCGCCGATCCAAGGGCTCCCACCGACAGCAGCCCTCACCGCGCCCCTAGTCGCGTCCCTGGCGCGCCTCCACGCTACAGATTTCACTTTTAGCGCTAAAGGGTTGGGTTGGAGATGTCAAAGCGAGTCTCTTCCTCTGCGACAAGCATCAGTGGTGATGGCCTCGTCCGCTGCAAGCACAACATTCCCGCCGTAGTCAAAACATCTGGTACCAATGATAACCCAGGCCGATGATTCTATGGATGTCCATATTGGAAGGTAAGGGTGAACGATCGTAACGATGAATGTTGTTGTTTGTGGGGTTGTTTGTTAATTGGATGGTTGTCATTGGGCAGGATGTGAAGAAGAACTGTCGCTTTTTTAGGTGGGCGGAGATGAATGATGATGTTTGCGAGGTCCGAGACACGAATATGGAGAGGTTAATACTGCAGCTGGAAGAGAGTTTGAGCATTGCTGAGTCTAAGGCAGAGAGGAGGAAGAAGGAGAAGAAGAGGATAGTTGAAGAAGGAAGGAAAGTGAATGAAGATCTCCGTGCAATTCGGTTTATGTTAACTGTTATTGTTGTATTGAATGCCTTTGTTCTTTTTGTTGTGTGGAGCTATCAATTTGTGATTTAGAAGTAGTAGGGTTTAGATAAGTCGTCATGATGTTTGCTCTAGATTGGTTGAACAATATAACTGTAATGCTATCTTCAAGAACAATATAATTCCAGAATGTTGTTTAATGTCCAGAATGTTGGAAATGAAGTGGTAGTTGCAATGACTTTTCCTCAATAACCATTCCTTATTACTACAAAAGGAGTACTGCATATCCATTCACACAAAGTTAACTAGCCATTCCTGAATTACAACATGTTTTAACTTACAAAGCTTAACAAAGTGCCCCATTATAGAACATAACCATTCCTGGATTCTGGACATGTTTTAACTTACAAATCCTAACAAAGTGCCCCATTAGTTACATGAGTCGATTTCAAAGCTTCCTTTATGGAAGTCATTACATGGGGGCTGACAAAAGTAAATCGACTCAATATGCCAACTTCTAAGGTTGTGTGACAGGTGGTTGACTTCCTTGTACATCCACCACTGTTGGCTGACTTCCACCCACTGGACGACCATTTGCTCCGTTCATCTTGAAGAACAAATATGGAATCAACAACATACACAACAATTTAAAAGCAACAAATGACTATAAACCACTAGTCTTACCCTAACATATGTATTTCCAGTGGTCTCATTCACATACACACCGATTCCAGCTGTTGCAACTCGCATCTCGCGTGCAATTGTCCTTCGATCACCAACGTTTAACCTCACATGCTACATAATGCAGAAAAATCATAATCACATTCTTCACACTTCCTATAGATCGATTCATACACAATCTTATATACCTGTATTCCACTCCCTTGGTTTATAGGACAAGTTCTTGCATTGTGGGTCGCTGAACCACACTTCGAACAATGACCCTGCCTTGGCCTCTTTCCGGTGTTTTGAGCTGATGGCTGAGCAGTTGGTCGTGGCGTTGGCTGAGTAGTTGAACCGCGAGTTCTCCTCGCTGTAATTGTGTTTCCCTTTCCAAAAAAGCAAATGACATTCAGAAATATAATTCAAGTTCAGCAATATAAATCACATGGTGCAAGACAAAATTAAATCACATTCACCTGTCTCTCGGGGGCAGCATTTGAAACGGGCTCTTTACAGGTCCGTGCATTATGCCCCTCAGCTCCACACTTGCTCCAGTGGATGACAGATCCCCTCCTCGACACTTCTTCACCAATTCCTTGAGCTTGAGGTCGAACCTCAAGCTCGTGAGCAGCTTTCCTCCGGTTCTTCTTTGGCCTTCCAGGCTGCGCCCTTTGCTTGGGAGGGAATACTGGATAACCAGTGGCTTCAGGTCATGCCTGTCCCCATCCTTCCTCAGGTGTGTGATTGCCGAAACAGCGTGGCAACATGGCAAACCGCTCAGAGACCAATACCCACAAGTACATGTCTTTGTTTGGAGATCAACTATGTACCCTGAATTACCCATCTTCACCTCACACTTCAAATTCAAGGTTTGCTTAGATATGCACAACCTAGCGAGCTCCTTCTCTTTTTCTACCTTCTTTCTAATTCTCGGACACAACAAGTCAGTCGTAGCAGATAACATGTTAAACTTGATCACAACTCGATCCATCATGTAACCCCTAATCCCCTCGAGCATATCTATGATTCTCATTCCCCTATCCTTAACAATTGTTCCATTCCAGGTTTCACAGATATTACTCTCCACTGAGTCACACTTAGGTAAATGAGATAAGAAGGATCGACAGAAGTATCTAGGTTCTTGGTCCATGAAGTCTTTAAAAGGTGTGCTAAGTGGGTCATTACCTTCAATCTCCTCCAATTCAGCAGTTTCCTTCTTCCAATCAACTTCATTGCAGGCATAGACTGCCTTCCAGAATACTTTGCGGACCCGATCTGTCTTATTTTTAGATTTCCAGTTTGCATACACATGCCTTGCACACTTCCTATGCTCCGCATCTGGCAACATGTCACGTAGAGCATCAACCAATCCCTAACATAAAAGATAATTGAATAGAGTTAGCAATTTCAAATGTGTATAGAGTCAGATAATAGAGAACCATACACAATACCGTTTGTTGATCGGATATGACAGACCAGCCCCTTCCATCGCGTAAGTTCAGCTCCTGCGACAAGATGTTCACAAACCACCTCCATGAACAAGAATTTTCACCCTCCACAATTGCCCAAGCAATTGGGAACATTTGGTTGTTCCCATCCTTCCCTACAGCAGTAAGCAGCATCCCTTTCACCTCTCCCTTCAAAAAGCAGCCGTCCAAACCAAACATCGGGCGACAAGCTAAAAGAAATCCGTCTCGTATGACCGAGAACCCAACATACAACCTCTGGAAGAATACCTTCTCCTGTGTAGGGTGTGGTTCAACCTCCAAAACAAATTTCCCAACTCGATCCCGCTTAAGCAATTCAACAATATAACTCCTTATACCACGATACTCATCCACTAACGAACCACTTAACATTTTAACCGCTTCCACCTTAGCCCGGTAACATGTTCTCTTTTTCACCTCCATATTGTGCTTCAACTTTATTTCTGCCATAATCTGATCAGGACTCCACTCTGGATTGATTCTGAATCTGTCCAGCATATCAGATGCAATCCACTTGGCCGTAACTTGATTGACACGTAGGTTGCGATTACAAGAGTGTAGCAATCCAACCTTTCTAACCATGAAGATGTGATTCCTCCTAAACCAGCTCGCATAAACCTTCCATTTGCACCTCTTATCCTTGCATACAACCTCTTTTCTATCCTTCTCACTCCTCTTCCATCTCAAGCATGCCCATGCTGCTACGGAATGCAGTACAACCGCATTCTTAAACTGCTCCACACTGTCAAACTTGAGACGAGGAGTGAACTGAAATTGTTTATGATCACACTAAGGATCATAACGTGGTGCATCAGCGAATGGCTCAGCATCACCATCGTCAGACAAATTGCCCCTCACATGATCAGAATCTTCTGACTGTCTATAGCTGGAATGCTGAGAAGTCTCCCTTCTTTCCTCCTGGGCATGAGGAGCTTCAACAGATTCGGCTGCTTGCTCAGTTCTGGCAGCGCCTTCACCTAGTAATTCACCATCAATCTGGACTTCAGGAGCAATCTCCTCATCAGTTTCATCCTCGGATTCCTCTTCAAACTCATCCATTTGATCAACCTCTTCCCCGTGACAATCAGCCCTTGCCTTAACTTTCCTTTTCCTCATCTCGCCATAAGCTCGCAGATTAGCCCTTGCCTCATGGTACTCATCGTCCGACGTATCTGCATCATCGGAGTCATACACATGTACCAGGTCACGAGCAACGGAAGCAGCCCCATCCTCTGCTGCCCAGCTAGCATCAGAGTTTGCTGGTTGGTTTGGATCATGCTCTCCTACCAACTCCTCCCACGAATCAGCCATCTGGAGAGAAATAATACGATTTATGTAGGGATAAACGACAAAGCAACTAATTAAGTGATTAACCTAATCTAAACAATTTTTAATTCACTAACAAACAAATTCCACACACAACCATTCACCATTATTCTATGCGAAAAGGTTTTAGCTACCAACCAGGCAATTACTATTGTACCTAGAATTTGGAAGTGCTGACCTTCAGATTTCAGGGGCAAATAAGCGACACAAGAGAGGGAAGTGGTCCCTGTTCGAATCTTCTCTGTTGCTTTCCAACCTTTAAAGCAAGCTTCGACAATTGAAAGCCACAACCCAATAAATAAGAACCATTTTCCCACAATTGAAGCCACAACCCAACTAATTCAAGAGTACCCAGTGCTCACCAGCTTCGACAACCGAAGAGAAGAGAAATCGTCGATTCTTGGTTGCGATTAGGGTTTCCGGAAAAAACCTTTCTCGGTGGTCCGTGCCTTCGACGCTGCCTTTGCTTTGAACAGGACGCTTGGGTTTCGTCGGGAAACGGCCGTCGTCGGTCTATTACGTCGGAAGATGCATGCACGACATCATCTGGCTAAGGCGGTGACGGCGGGGGATGGAACGAAATAGGGAGGGATAGAAATTTCTCGGTAGTAAGGGCGCCGATCGGAATAGGTGATGGGATTCTTTTAGATAGATCGAAAGTTGTTGAGGGAATGATGGGAAAGAGCACCTCGTCGATCGTCGTGGTCGGAGGGAAGAAAGGGAGATGAACGAGCGAGAGTTGGAGAAGAAAGTGAAAAAGTTAGGGTAGAGTGGTTTTCGGTGTTTTATTCTTCATTTTTTTTTGTCCACGTGGATTAGTGGGGACGCTGACAACGCCAACTCAGCCTTCCCGTCAGTACAGTCACCCAGTTACTTCACGCCGTTAAATGGAAGATCGAAATTGGGTATTTCGTGTATTTCGATAGTTATGGATATATTTGTCACAAAGGTGAAAGTTATGGATATAGAAGTGTATTTTGCCTAAAGGATTCCACCGAATTTGTTTGTCTTTCGACCACTGATCACTATTCCCTTTGTCTGCTGGTCCTTACATTATCAGTAGCAAGCAACGGTGAAAGGTCATCAGATCAAAGGAAGAAAATTTGGCAAATATCAATACCAACCAAGCTCAAACGAGGTACGGAACCTTTTTTGCCTAGTAGACGACCATTAGGCTTATAGCTAAGAATCCAAATAATAGATGAGTGCATTGTACATGCAGCTGGAATTTGAAGTGCTAATTTGATTTTATGTATAAGGTCAGCATCATGGATAAAATTTGGATGAGTAGGCCGAGGAATACCGAGGAATACGTGCACGGATTAGGCACTTTTCTTGAATTTGCATTTGGTTCTCCATGTTGTCGGAATGGAAAAGTCTTATGCCCATGCAAAAATTGTTCCAATCATTATTGGATGTCTCAGGTTGAAGTGTGTGATCACTTGATATGTGTTGGGTTTGTACCAAATTATACACATTGGGTTTTACATGGAGAAAACCCATTTCATGTCACCCCTTCTATCGAAAGTACAGCCCACAATTATGAGGGGGTAGATAATGACGTGCAAGACTTGTTGAATGATGTGGTTATGGGTGGTGAGTCAGAAGTAAAAGAGCCAAATGCAGAGGCTATGAAATTTTTTAAGTTGGTAGATGCAAACAAAACCGAACTCTATCCTGGATGCACAAGTCATTCTAAGCTTTCCTTCATCATCAGATTGTTTCAGATAAAGTGTCTTGGAAGGTGGTCAATCAAATCATTCACTTTGCTGCTAGATCTATTGAGAGAGGTTCTTCCCGAGGGATGTAGTTTGCCCAAAATTTACTATGAGACGGAGAAACTTATTTCAGATTTGGGTTTGAGTTATAAGACAATAGAGCCATGTCAAAATGATTGTATGTTGTTCTGGAAAACACATATAAATGAGCCTAAGTGTCTTGTCTGTGGAGCTGATAGATGGAAGAATTTACCAACGCCTGTTGTTGGATCCTCCAAAAAAATGCCTGTTAATGTCCCATACAAAAAGATTTGGTATTTTCCAATAGGACCAAGACTCCAAAGATTGTATATGTCATCAAGTACAGCCACTTTGATGTGTTGGCATGATGAAGGTCGTGTCAAAGATGGATATTTAAGGCATCCTGCAGATTCAGCTGCATGGAAAACTTTTGACTATCGACATCCAGAGTTCGCTGCAGATTCGCGCAATGTTAGACTAGGATTAGCTGCTGACGGATTTAACCCCTTCAGAACAATGACTTCGTCGCACAGTACATGGCCGGTCATTTTGGTCCCATATAATCTACCTCCTTGGTTAAACATGAAACAACCTTACATGTTTTTATCACTCATTATTCCCGGCCCTGCATCTCCCGGGAATAACATTGATGTCTATCTACAATCTTTGGTTGAGGAGTTACAAGATTTGTGGGCAGCTTTGATGTGGACTATCAGTGATTTTCCCCGTTATGCAATGCTATCAGGTTGGAGCACCAAA